CATTGATGTCGTTCGCGCCTCAATTGACGGGGCGTTCCGAAATAATCGATTTTATAAATTATCTCTCGAAACTTCGAATCGAGTGTTTACATCGTAATTCTATAAAATCATTTGAGATATTTAATATTCATATAGGTACGTATTAGATGGGGTCGATTAAATGTTATTATGAAATATTATTGCGACAACAGTACAAATATTAAAAACGAATTTGAACGTGAAATTGAAATATTGCGATTAAATATATAACACGAAGACCTTTGGAATTAATAATAACTATGTAACGTATATTAATTATAGAATTTTACTATATGTCTACGATTTATTCGATGGAATATTCTGTGTGAAAAAGAAAACGATTGATTAAGAAGCTCCGTATGATAATCATTAGCGATTTATCAAAGTTCTATCCTACGAAGTGATAGACTTTCGGTTCAATCACGGACAAATTTATTCTCATAGTATTGGTGCATTGCAGTGTCTTAATTATAAGGTTAGTCTCATTACTTTGAAATAATTGCTATTACTTTAGGCGTGTGTCGACGTTTCAGATTCATTTCCTTCTGCGATTGACATTGAAATCTCCGAAAAGAAATTTCAATAATTAGGCGACGCAGATGATATCAAATATATTTATTGCAATAATGTTATTACGTGGTTTCCGATGGTGTATGTTTGCAAAAAAATATTTCTAAATTCCTGTAATTCATTTTACATTCATTGAATTACGATACATTTCGAAAAAATAGACTATAGAGCCAAGTAATTAATTACTACTAAAATTAATGATTAGTGCCAATTAGAATCGGTGCTAATCCCACAAAAGGAAATGTGAAATTTGTTACTCATAGCAAATCTTTCAAATTCCAGAGGCAAGCTTTTGTCTCCAAACATTCGTATAATTCGATTCAGTTTTAGACATGTATATTATTGGATTGTCCCAAAAATAATGCGGTCTTTTATATTTCTTTTATTCTTGAAAATAAAAGTAAACAAAACTGTTTCTGCGAAGTAATTATAATGTATAGATTTCTGGAATACACGACTGCAGAGTATAATAAAATAAGTACATTAACAATACTTTTATTCTTTAAGATACAAATTTCTGCTCAGCTTCGGTCTATGCTAATTCGATTATACGTGAGTTTGTATAATGATCAACAGTCTATTATATAATAACATAGAAAGTTCACGTTATAGGGTATAAAGTACAGTGTGGTCAACAGTTTAGAGGTATTCTGTAAATCGGTGGAAATAATTGCACAATACAAATACGAATATTACGTTGACAAATCGAAAACTTAAAACTCTTATAGCCGTTTCAAAAATTGTTAGCTTTTAATCGGGAGGAAATTTATAATATAAATAATTTCAAAGAAATCTGTCGAGTTATTCCAACCTCTTGGTCTGTAGTGTACAAATAAGAAACGAAAACGAGGATTTTATGATTACAGTGGCTGAATTACTGTAACGTTTCACGTAAATCCACTTTTCTGAGAAAACTGGCATCAGAATACCGATTGGAAGCTACACAACAGCAAAAGAGTAGGCTGTCATCAATGATACAGTAAATGTCATTAATGATATAAAATGATGTATTTAAATAAAAAAAACGTATCAAAAATATACAATAAAATTTGTTCTCGAAGTATTTTGTTTCCGAGAAAATCAATTTTAAGTAATCCATGCTTAACAAGTACTCATTACGTCGATTTTCTCGAAACAAAAGTTTTACGTGCAAACCGTTTATCCTAGAATTTAGATTCTTTTCTTAAAAAAGATGACTACATTGTTAACCCCTTGCCCTATGGTTTCTGTTTCAAATCTGGTTGATACGATTACTTCGTCATTGATAATTTATTGGAAAACGTGACAAATTCTAGGTATTCTACGTCTACGTTTGCTTTTAACACTAGATCTACCGTACATATTACAAGAGAGTGCATTTATTGAGATTTTTATTGGCGTATATTGTAGTCCGTATGTTATCAAATCATTATTAAAGAAATTGATTTGGCAATACGCAAATTCAATAGACGCACTCTTGAAGTTGCTACAGAGGAATTTCAAAAAGTCAATTTAACTACTCGGTAAGTTTAATGTAAATGATTGTAAAAGAAGAAATCAAGAGCAGGTCAGTTTGACCTGTCTGGTAGCTTTAGTGTTAAGTATAATCATTGATTACAAAAGAATAATATTTAATTTGATTAAGGAATATTTATGCTGATTAAATCCTGTTGAAAATCTTCACGAGTCTGACAGAGTATTCTAAGGCAAGGGGTTAATCACGGACTGCCTCGTATAAGGAGATCAAGTGTTTCTTAACAATTTATGCGAACGAACACGTGTATATTATATTAACGCTACTCTTGACAAAATAGTACTTATATTTTCGCAAAATAAGGATTACCTGTTCGATGGTATTCCGTTAACCCTAAATAACTAAACTTAAATTAACGTTAATGCGTAACTAACTATTAGACTCATAGGCTACGAATTAAAGACATGCATATTTTTATATTTCGTTCATTTATTTCAAAGAAAATAGCACAGCTTAAGAGAGATATTATTAGATTTTAATTAGAAAGTAGAAAAACGTACAAAATGAACGTTTAGAGTTTTGGTGGATGTTAAAAGTGTACTCCTGCGTTTGAATTCGCAAAAGTGGCGGAAGTTGCTAAACTATTTAGACGAAGGTTTAGTTATCTAGGGTTAGACAGACACTGCAGGAATCGAAAGCGCGATTACAAACGAACGTATGACTATACCGGAACGTAGATTACAGAGGATATGCATATAGAATCTTTAGCAACAAGCGATATGAATGCGCACGCAGTGCCTGTCGAATTACCCATCTTTGGTACCTTATTAATATGACCACTCTCTGTCTATAAACACGCTTCGGTAACTGTGTCTGAGATCTCGTTGCTGTTCTTTTGTAATCTACAATTACTGTTCCACCATCATTATTAACATATTGTTGACCGATCACGAGTTAACTCGCGTTTGCACTTGCATTAGCTACTTCAATTTTTGAAACACAGGGCAATATAGAACATTGCAAAAGCAAAATATTCAAAATTATATTTCAATTCATTATATGTAAATAAAGTATACTGAAGTTTATTTGGATTGTTTCACTTTTATATTTAATTACGAAATAACAACCGGTGACATGAGACAGCTTCTGCATGGAATTGCCGGTCAACAATGTGTTAAGTCGAGGGAAAAGTTTCGACATTTTCAGTTTTTAGATTTAATTTAGTGACTCGACTGTTTGCTGGATGAACCGGAAATAGGTAAAAAACGAAGAAAGAAGTGTCTTTTGTACATGTTATAATGGTTTAAAAACAGATGTTATTTGTTTCAATTCGCTATATAAGTGAAAAATAGTAACATCGATTGAAAAGGCACGAAAAGAAAGGAAAAATGCGTCTTTTATCCTTATCTTCCTAATCGTAAGACAGAGCGGTAGAGCTCGTTTATAGATAGAGCACGCTTTAAACACTCAGAATGTAATTCTGAATAAATAATGCGATGATCGAGTACACTGAGTTCTCGATTTACATGATTTCACGTTACACGGTCTGGTCAGATAAAGCAAGAATTAATTTTTGTTTTGCGAATTACAATGCAATCCTGTTAAGTGAATAAATTTTTATTTTTGAAAACATAATCTTTTATTTCACAAACAAATCAATCGTCACTGTTCCACATAGATTTGTCAAATTTATTACATGTGAATTTCTTTTGCGAATTGTGGATACGAGTTTCACGATATCAATTTACACGAGATTTTTGGGGAATCGATCTTCAGTGTAAATCGACGATTAGATGTAATTACAATACGACGAACTTGCCATTGCAACGACGGTCATCGTTAACGCGACTTAAAATTTACATTTATAGACAGAACGTTGAGACGCGGCTGAAATTGTTCCACGGATCCACGGTCGTTATGGCGTTACCGTACACCATGTTATGAACGTTAATCCGTGGATTACAATACACAATATTGCGTAACAAATTCACTTATTACGTAACGAACGGAGACACGCAAGCGTTTATAACAAACCGGACTTTCAAAAATATAATATATCAGGTATTGTGTGTCGTTTCTGAACACGTTTAACATATTGTTGACCGGTCACGATTTAAGTCGTGTTTGCACTTGCATCGGCCATTTTAACGTTTGTAACGCAGAGTAATATAGGATATTGCAAAAACAAAATATTCAAAGTTATATACAAGATATGTTTGAAGTTTCATTTCAGTTCGTTATGCATAAATTAAGTGTATTGAAGTTTATTTCGATTATTTTACAGTCAAATTTAATTACGAAATAATCACCGGCGACATGGAACAGTTTCTGCGTAAAATTGCCGATCAACAGTATGTTACGACTAGAAGAAGAACGTTGCAATGATTCGTGGATTCAGTGAATCCTCGAATGTATGTTTCACAAATGCTCAGAGTCACATTATTTATATCTGGTATAGGTGCATACACTGGCTGGAATGGAGATAATAGTAGAATCTCGTGAAATCCGATGCTTCGTATAAAAACAAATCAAAATTGCATGGTGAATTAGGTCTGCCGGAAAATCCTGTCAGATAATGTCATCTCAAGCTTCCAAAGGTGAGTGATCCTATAGAAATGGAATCACAGATTACCATTATCCTAGGGAGAGGTGATTAGTAACGATGGAGACGATATTGTATAGTAAATGTTAATAAATAATACACCGAAAATGTATTATTTTCTTTGAACACTAAACGTACCGCGACCGGTCAAATGACCGGTTATAAAGTTTGATTGAAAATTCTCCGTTTCTCCTCGTTCATTTAACCTGTTAACTGTAGAATTTAGTTTGAAAAATCTCTCGTTTTACGCGTGATAAAATGAAAAAAATGAAGTGAGTACTCGTCAAACGCAAGGCGAACGCGCCTAGGGTATATTTCAATGAAAAACCAAAGCGAAACAAAGAAGAATTACCTGCTTATCTGAAAAAATAAATAATTCATCGTTGAAGGAATTAGTATCATTTCACCTTTTGCACTCGTATGTCATGCTGAGGATGACAATATAAATTTGTTGTAGAACTCGTATATCACGCTAGAACTGACAACACTAATTTACTCTAAAACACGTACAACACGTTGGAAATTGTTTGAAAAAGTAGCACACTTTAAAACATTATAAAAAATCAATCTTATGATAATAATAATAGATAAAATAAATATAAAATGTTGAATTCTACCGTTACAAATTACTTCCATTCATTTCCCTAAAATTAAATGCAGGTATACACCTGACAACATTGAAAATCAATCGAGTGCAAACGGTTAAAATATATTCCTTTGACTCACGAAGATTCGCAACTACAGTATTCCCCTCATAACTTCAAGCATCAACGATCTACTTAGCGTCTTATTTTTGTCCCCATCGTATTTATGCCAGTAGCTATAGTTCGAATAAGTTTCATTCATGACTCTAGCACGTGTGTGTGTGTGTATGTGTAAGAAAGGAGAAAAAAAGACCATGGTCATGAAAGCGATAAAATAAAACGTCACAAGAATATTCTTGTATTGCCATTTTGAATGAATGATTAATAATGATAATAATGATATTTTAGAAAAGAAAAATAAATTTTATTCGGTGCCGTTAAATTCAAATCGCGCAAATTGATGTAGCGTACAAACAGTACCGCGTAAATGGAAGGACGGGTGTATTTTCACTATTTTCAAATATTCATCAGTTTTAACCGCACTTATCATTTTACGCCATTGTCACGACTGAATGTTGAAACATTCGTAATGAATTCTATTATAATAAAATGATTCTATTACAATCTAACGAAGAACATAGAGATTTCTTACTTTTGCGCAGAATATAGACGAACTATAAGTATTTTTCTTTTCTTTTCTTTCTTTTCTTTTCTTTTCTTTTCTTTTCTTCTTTTTTTTTAGTTTTCACGTGTATCCTGATTTTCAGTCGCATCCGGTTACCTTAAACGAGAGGCGAGGACGAAATAGCTTACGGGGACGTTACAAGGGAAAACTGTACACTAAAATTTGATCTACAATTGGAAGTAAATAGACTGAAACACGAATGACTCACTTGCCGAATCGATTGACTCGACTTCTCGGATCTTTTAAGAATTTTTCGTTAAAACGCCACATAAGCTCTCAACTGTTCATATTAAAAATAAATTTCCTTATTCCTGGGCGTGGTACCACGATATAACAAAAATTCTATTAGCCTACGGAAAATTTGCAGTAATAATAAAAATCAGATCGGAGTTATACCATTTTATAGATTTTACATATTCTTTAGATTAATGCTGCACCCATGATAACGAAGTAAAATACGATGTACAATGATTTAATTTCCTATTTAAAGGGAAATTTTGATCTTTATTGTACAGCTATTGCATCGGTTTTCTCAACTTTTTGTTTTATGGAGTCAATCGATTCGGCAAGCGAGCCATTCGTATCTCGTAGATACGCGGCAAGTCTCCAATCTCGTTTCCCTCGATTTCGGACCGATTACGCAATGTATTCTTTGTATAATATATTAAATAATTATCATGATCGGCGAAATCGAACGACTGGCGGATCGGATTGAGAGTCGTGGAACAAGAAAAGCTCTAATATACATGTAACCGAGAAATACGGTTACAACAAACTTCCTGGTCCCATTTCTCAAGCATTATCATCATCTTATTAGCCACCCTCTGCACACCCATTCCTTCAGAATCACGATGTCTGATCATAGCCCGAGATTTTTGTACTCGCGTTAAGAGTGACCATTTGCTGCGGTTCTTAGCAATGTTCTCCTCCTTCCGATGTTAGCCTTAACACTAAACGTACCGATACTTCATATATAGTAGCGTTCAAAAGTTCAGAACGTTTTTGGATAATTAAGTCAATGTTGCCACATCGGTGTGTCGCTGTCATTAATCCAAAGGCATGGCCATAAAATACTAAGTGTAATATGTTAAGTACTATACATTAAATTACTATTATAACAGAAAAGAATCCTTATTTATTTCCAAAAAAAATATGTATGAAGAACAGATGGTGTTAATTTTTTTATAGTATCCTCTCATGCAATATGTCCTTTATATATCATAATAAGAAGAAGTTCCTAAAGTCTTTGTGTAAGGAAAACTTCAAAAGCGATCTGGTCGGGAACTTTTGAACGCCACTTATATTTATTACTACCGTAACTAATCAAATAACTGGTTACAAAGTAAAGGTAAACAAATTAGAAGGACAATGTTTTTTAGCGAAGACAGAAACGAAGGGGAACATAAACATTAAAAAACACGCATTAATGAAAGTGAAAGTCGAAGTAAATGAACGAACAGAAACGTAGGATCTTCAAGGAAATTTGAACACCGGCCATTTGACCGGTCACGGTACGTTTAGTGTTAAATATTGCACAGGAGCGGTGGAGCTGACGCATTGAAAACGTGACACCAAGGAAATATACCTATAATCTCTTACGAGATTCTATCCAATGAATGTATAAATAATGACTTGAATCAAGGGACATGCTATCTCCTATACAAATGAATAGTATTATAATTTGTTTCATTTTCAAATCTAACATGTTGAATTTCAGTCGTATCTTTTTCACTAAACAGGAGTTTTGGTTCTTATGTGTCAATGTTTACAATTAGATTCGTAAAAAAATGTCTACACTCATTTAATATATTTAGTATAATTTAATTTAATTTTCATTCTTTCCCACAAACGTTTTTCCTCTGACAGTCTTTACTGTTTAATCCTCATTGTTCCTTTGATTTTACATTACTTTTATATTTTCTTTGGTAATATACACTCTAGTATATTATTTTTTTTATAATTACCTTCTCCGTAATTTTCTTTTCATTTATGTTGCTCTCGTTTCATAATTGTTCATCGTTATTATTTTTAATCTTTCAATGTATCAAAGAATTTTCTTCCGCATTCTAAAGTCAAAATTAATCTGTTGGTAAACTATTTTAATTACTTTCTAATTAAGAGATTCAAATTAACAAAAATATTTATACGATATGCATGTCAACTTACAGTCACCAATTTTTTGTATTCTCCTTGACATTCCTAAATGAATCCAGTTATTTTATTGTTATGCTTCTTTCGTACTGAGCTAATCAAAATAGTAGAAACCCTTTCACAAAATCGCACCTCACTTAATGTGAATTTAGGTCCAACGAATAGATGATTCGTGTCATAATTTTGGTCACACCTATAGATCTAACCATTGTACACACTTGTTATAATAAGATATTATTTTTCAAATATTCACTGTGTTATGCGATGTACACGTACTTTAATTGTGAATCTGATTTTCTTGCTATTCTTTCAGTCTTCAAAACTCCAACTTTAACTGTTCTTCACGGAGCACACTTTCAGAAATAATGTAAATATATTATCTTTTTTTTTAGAAATAAGTTCTGTGAACCAACTTGCTGCACCAGAGAATAAATAGAGTATTAATAAAATAGAAAACACTGTATAAGAAAATAGAAATATCATTTTGTAATTTCATCTATGAAATTAAAGAACTGCATAGAGTTTATCGTCATTTCTTTCTGAATCAATTTGAAGGAATTGTGTGTAACATTGTATAATGTATAAAACAGTCGACCTATGGAAGAATACAATTGGAAGAATATACATGATAAGAAAAGATGGAAGGATTCTCTCGATTCTTATGTACTGTTCAGATCAATTTGAGCCAATTGTAAGTATCAATGTATAATTATAGTTTTCTCTTCATAAAAATGTACTATTCGTTCTTGTGATGTTGAATATATGTACATACAAATACAGAAATACATATTTTTTTATTTTTCCAGAATTTGATATTTCATAAAATTTTATTTTCTTAATGAAGAATTTGAGCAGATTCCAAATAATATAAAAATTATATAATAATGTAATAATGTAAAATCGATCGGATGTTGGTATTGTTGAATAGTCGACTACACGAGGATTACTGTATTTATTAATCGCCTGAACAGTACACAAGTGTTGAACGTCGTAACGTGAGTAAGGTAAAGTTTCGAATGGACGGCGATTATCTGTTTCGGTGTTGATCCCAATCTCCTAAGCATTTCCTTTCGCGTCAGACACGGCTTTGAGCGTAATCTCGCTCGATTTTAATCAGCAATTGGGACATACAGTGAATGCCACTTAAAATCGTACACCTTAATATGTATAAGAATTTTATTTAGAAATTTATTTATTATATGGGTAAGTTAAATCATTTATCCAAATACATTGATGTAATTATATCTCATAAGTTGCAATTACTATACATATATTAAATACAACTACATTGATGTATCCATGGATAAATGACTATTCTTACCTATGTAGTAAATAAGTTTAAAATTGTTTGCATTCGCCATATAACAATTTTATTCGTAAAAAGTAAATTAAATATATTTAGAAATAAAAATTGCACGTATCTAATTGTGGATAATTAAGATAATCAAAGGAATCTAACAAAAGAGATTTATCTTCAACAGCGGAATAAAAGATTCATTTTACTTCAATTTTCACGAAATTCTTTAAACATGTTCTGTTTGTAACATACTTTTTTAACTTTTTCAATTTCGTTCTCACAATTTATTCTGTACGTGTTTGATTACATTGATATAAATTTCTGGCTTTATTCACCAAAATGTACCATCAGACTGTAATCGTTATTTTCTCTATTTTAAAAACATTATTTTCATTAATATTCAATCATAATTTTTGATCTAATTTCGCTTATTTTATTTAAGTTACGTTGATGTTTTCCGAAACATACAGCTATTTACTAATCATCTACACACAACGCAATATTTAAACTAAAAGAAAATTGTTCCCAATACTATAAAATCGAATAAATTATATAATATTTCAGTTCTACTAGTTTGCGCGATTTTTAATAATTGACGATTCTGACGCGTTGTTCCCGTATACATACGTTTAATTTACTTTTTAAGAGTAAAACTTTTCATTCGATATTATGAAATATTGAGTTTTGTGTATGTACGCAAAAATTATTTTAACTTTAACGACATAATAAAAGCAATTTATAAAGAAAGATCTCGTGAATATTAAAGTGCACGACTTTAAGTGATACTTACTGTACATACTTGTCTCGATAATGAAGAATGTATGATACGATATTTTTATAAGAAGTGACAGCAGTAGGGTCACGGATTTAATTCACACGTTTGGCGGTGAATATAGAGCAAAAATAAAACAGACACATATCCGAGCGTTTGTGTGAATGCGTATTGTTTACAAAGATATTCACTACTAACGTTCTGATGTATCTTAGTAAATATTGCTCCCGAGGAAAATGTCTCGAATGTCACTCTGATTTTTTAACCAGTTAACTGTGAAATTTAGTTGGAAAAAAAAATGGAGCGTGTACTCGTCGAACGCAGGACGAATGCACGTAGAGTATATTTTAATAAAAGACCAAAGCGAGAAAAAGAAGAATTACATGTTTATGCGAAAAAAGTAAAGAATTCATCGCTGAAAGAATTAGTATCATGTCAAGCTTTACGATGACGTGTATACTCGTCAAACACAGTTAACTGGTTAATGAGCTCCCGAAGATCCTAGTATTCGTCAAGTTAAATACGTTAGCACCCATATAACGTAAATGAATAGTAAGATACGAAATACTAATAACTAAGATTATACTGTTCTTACAATGTGATAATAACTTTCAAATCTCTTTATATGCATAAATTCCATGATATACGTGTTTTTCTTCAATATTTCATAGTCATTTATACATAACTTTCGCTAATCTTTCAATACCTATCAACGTAACACATTTCCACGGCATTTACCACAATTACTCAAATTGTTCACGATCACGTTTGCATATTAATCAGAATTCTTCACGCGTTTACACCATTTCCCTTGCATTATTAACAAAAATTTCCTCACGTTCTCCAAGCCGACAAAATTTCCATAAATAGTGCCAAGAATATCCCCCGGTTAAAAATCTCGCGGACGTGATACTTCACTCTTTAGTACCTCGTAAATCAACTGTCTTCCAAAAAGGGACACCGGCACAAATATACCGAATATCGTAAACCATCTGACGAACACTAGAATCTCTCGACGCCTGGTTAACACTAAAACCACCGAACAAGTCAAATTGATCCACTTTAAAATTTATATTTCACGAGTATTTAAATTCTGAAGGCCTTGAAAAGATTTTCAATTAAATTTATGTATTTATACAGACACGCGACCAAGAGTCCCTTCAAATCTCAAAGAACATATTATCCTAACTTTCACCAAAAAAAATTTCAAGTAAATCACTCTAATTGCTCGGTGGTTTTAGTGTTAAGAAGCCAGGGTAAAATTTCAGCGAGCTCTTTCCGTCGGGATGAACGTAACGATGTCGTGGGAGGGATCTGCAGAGTCAGTCCCAGAAGCGTTTCAGAAGAGGCAGCAAAGAAGAAGAAGTTTCGATTGGACGGCGATCGTTCGCGTCGGTGAAGACGCTCGCGCGGTTATCCTGGAGAGACCGGTGCTAAGTTTAAAGCTCGTAGACATCGCGTCCGTTGAGTCTGCCTAGTTCCCTGGTGGACCGGCAAGAGGCGGGGCTGGTGTACGAGTGGATGATGTGGACCCTGAGACGGTGTTGCTCGCTAGTGTTTCTGGATGGATCGCCGCGTGTCCTTCTCGAGAAGCTGACCGTGGTCTTGCAGCAGCAGTAGTTGAAGAGCTTCACGTACGCGCTGCGGAAGTGTCTGTCGGCCACGCAGTAGAGGAGATTGTTGAAGCAGGACTTGGACAAGGCAAACCAGGCTAGGTTGTAGAGGACGCGAGCGCTGATCGGCCAGAACGAGTTCAAGCAGACTGCAATGCCAAACGGCAGCCAGAACATGAGGAACACCGCGCAGCTATACATGTTCGCCTTGGTCAGCTCGTAGTCCCACGAGAAGGCAACCGGTGGTTTATACGAACCCCTGGTAGCGCGACGAACACGGATCACCAACTTGATGTAGAGGAAGGTGGTCGTCAACGTTGGCACACCTACCAACAGGCTAGCTCCGATTATTTGCTCCAGAGCTATCCGGCCGAACTGACGACGACAGAAGTCTGGCCCGACGTCTAGCGATGATTGCAGCACCACTGCCATTACGGATATCAGCCAGACGCTAATGATCGTCGTTGTTACCCGGCTCGGGGTTAGTATGGCGTATCTGGAAGTGGGAGATTGTTGTTATACATTTGATGTAGGTTTGTATTGAAATATGACGAATATTCGGTCAAGTTGTTGATGCACTCGCTCCGATTTTCATGATTTTCAAGTATGTTGTTGGAGGTATGATTTCGAACAACTTTTTCTTTATATGTTGTTACTACTTCATTGAATTCAACGGAGGAAGCTGTTCGAAATCATGTCCCTAACGACATATTTGAAAATCATGAAACTCGGAGAGGACTAAGCACATCGGTAACTTCACTGAATATTGAGATGAAGTAACGTTTATTGGAAATGGGGTGAGAGTACAGTGAGACTCCGGGCTTACGATATAATTGGTTTCGGAATGAGCGACTTAAGTTAAGAAGAACGTAAGTCCGAGTACACAGGATAGATATGCATGCATGTATGCGAAGATACATGTCTGTACATGTATTTATCAGATTAGGCGATATATTTTCTTTGAAACGTATAAAAACGGTAGAAGAGATTACATTTAACGAACATTTACGAAGAACCAGAGAGACCACGACGATTTTTACGAATAATACTGGAACATACCGGATGGCCTCCTTTTATTGCCATTAAAATACATTCTCTATCCTTGAGGAACGTCTTCAGAGTTGTTTTCAGCAAATTTATTTTTTAGTTAATCTCAAAACCTTGCAGTCCACTAGTATTTCCTTTTTTAATAATATAATTTAAGAATGAGGACATCTAACGCTGTGGTGTCATTACAAATATGTAAATAATGATCTTAATCATCGATTAATCGCACTTGCGTGCTGGTGTTTATTGTGAAAAAATCGCCACCTACTGTTTCGTATTTCCATATATTAACACATTAAAAAATATTATAAAGCAGGTCATATATAGAAACTCAAATGATTGACGAAACGATAATGTTCTGTTTTGGGATTTTCTATCCATTCGTTGTATTACCATTGAACATTTTATCTCGGTATTCGAAGATATTTCTCGCTTGCTATACCTGTGTCCCGTCAAGCTCTCGTCTTTCAATATTTTTTTAGCAGTTCCTTACAGTTGTGAATAGATAACGGTATCTTTGACACAATCAGAACTCAAGATAGACCTGAGCTCCGTACAATATGTACCACCATAAACTGTTACCGTTATGAGACCCTCGGAGACTTGTCGCGGTTAGAGCATACCTACTACCTTGACCATTATGTAGAACTTCATTTATCTGTACTTTGTTCCTGTGAGGTGAGTTCTAAATACACGAATTCAGAGCTGAACTCTTATTACATAAACTGAAGTTTAACGACGGATCTAGTTACATGAACACATACGACGTACACAAAGAAAAATGGAGAGTATTTATATCTATAGATAGATAATATAAAGACGATAGAAATAGAAGTAGATATAAAATAGATAATAGAAGAGATAATAGGTGCCAAACTTCAAATTTCTCAGAAGAAAGGAAAAAGTTGCCTAACGTTGCATTGAGTGTCTCGTGTCGTTATGTCATACCGATGTCATCTTTTAGCATTGTCAGTATTACTGACGATCAATTAAAACAAGGAAAAAAGCGTTTAAATAGTATACTACAGAATAATGATAAAAAAAACTCTTCAATTTTCTTATATTTCTAATAAATAATGACTAACTGTAAGTATTATTTGTTTTTGAATAAACTACTGATAGCACGTTACCATTATTTTTATAAATTACGCATAAGATACATCACTTTAAAGATACTGCTTAGAAACTGTTGATGTACGATTAGTAATAAGGCCAATGCTCATGAACCGCAATTATCAACGCAATTTTACTGAACTCCTTCTGCATCATATTTTCTTAGTCCTTTCTATTAGTTCCCATTAGCTTGCTCGACCAATTTCCCATAGTTCCTTCTACAAACTTTGAGTTCACTCGAAAAGCCTATACTCGTATTAAATTGTCACCTTCCATAATTTCTAACGTGAAAGATCAAATGATCAATGAATAAATGATTGACAATTAACGAACGCGGTATTCACCGCATTCCATGAACGTTACAATTGCTATATGAAGTTAGTTTGGTTCGTTAACGCATCAATACGGAATTTAATGAGCTCCGACGACTCTGAATTGGTTGGTAAACACACCATTGTTTTCGGTGCTGATAAAGCGGACCGCCAACCAACGAGTATTTGGATCGTTATTCGTGGCAGTCGACGAGTTAGAAAGAATCGATTCCCCGCGTTGTTGAGGTCCGAAAAGTATTCATTCCTAACTTTCTAAACTGCTGCTCGAAATTTTAGAGTATTTTCTAAACTTTTATTGTTTACGATTTATTATTAGAGGAACAGTATTGCGTGTATATAAGAATTTGTTTGTTAGAAGTGTTCCATATTAAACAAAATTTGCTTGGACACGAATCAAGATGATGAACTTCCAAACAATATTCTAATTTTTTCGAAAAAATTCTAACAAGTGGATGTACGAAAGATCAAAATAACTTTATGTTAAATTTGTAAGAGGCATTTAACACTAGATATAATTGGTACTTTATGTATACCCATTCCTATTGAACCAATCAGTAAACTGTACAATAAAGGTAAACAAGTTGGACGATAATTTTTTTCTTAGTGAAGACGGGAAAGAAAGGAAACAAAAATTGAAAACCGATTAATCAGACAATATATAATCGAGGTAAAGTTAAATGAGCGAAAGATAGCGCAGATTTAAATCAAATTTTAAAATCGATCATCTGACAGGTCGCGGTACGATTAGTATTAAATTAGTTTCCGGGTACAGAAATTGAACAAATTCAATCAGTTCAAAGTTACAACAGTTTCTAAGTAATACATATGAAAATTGAACGAATTCAACGCGGATAAGAGTTAAAACAGATTCTGGGTAAAAGATACAAAAATAGAACAATTTAACGTGGTTGAGTGCTAAAACAGTTTCAAACTGAACAAATTCAATCTAGCCAAGTGTTAAAACAGTTTCTGGGTAAAAGATGCAAAAACTGAACAAATCCAGCATAGCTAAATTGGATCTTCTCGATTCCCCTTGAGCTTCTCCAGCGAAGACCCTTAACCTCTCCCTATTGGCATCGTCTACAATAGCGCTCGAAGTCACGACCACCTCTGTTAATGTTTGCTGAAGCGGACCCGCTAACAATCGATGTTACGCTCCTGTCCGATCTAACGATATTCTTTAAAAGCTGCCGGCTCTTTTGGAAACCGAAGTATTCCAATGCTGCGTTCCCCGATCCGAGCACATTCCTTTTGATCGCGTTCGACATCGCTGATTCTTAAGACACAGAGCACTCGTGCATTAACGCAAGCCAATCGTAGAAAGGAATTAACAAAATAAAGTGAAGAATGTTCCTATTTTATGAAATACTATGCATCCGTTAACACGTTGACTGCCACGGCGGTCACCGATAACCGGTGCTTCCAAATTGCAAAACAATAATTACGTGGGAATGTATGTGTCCATGAACAAAAAAAAATTATGTGGGAATGAAAGTATAGATGAACTTATAGGTGTAGATGTATTTTAAGTAAATGTTCGAGATATTGGAATATTCTGAACAACATTGATTTTCTGTAATATTGATATTTACGTTCATGATAAATTAATCTGGAATATTCCAAATGCATGCGTGGTCATTGTTTTAGTAGTAGTATTGTTTCTACAAATAAAATATTCTCTTCCTCCTACAATTATAATTTATAAAATAATTGATGTCGAATTAAAATATTCAGTAGTGCGAATAACTAAATAGTATAACGTAAAAATTGAGATACCAAACGTTTTTTTATGTTTCCTAGGGAAATAATAAGTGATACGTTAAGCGTTGATATTTTTTGTGGCGGTGAACGTGGGAATAGTAAATATTCAGATCAACATACACACAGATAGATTGCATGGTATTTCGTAAACCATTGCGCATTGCGCAATGCTTATGCACTGTCGTCCATAAATATTTGATTACCTCCCATGATCATTCTTACACGTAGTACAACATCAATTACCCAAACAACGATTATCCGATTTTCGATTATTCGAATGATCGATTGTGCCACTGAGTCGTTTATGTGTGTACACAGAGCTATGTATTCAGCAACGTTTACATTTTGGGACATGTATCCTTCCTACCACTTCAGTGTCACGTTCAAATTTGATCCTTTAGGTCCCAAATGAAAACTTTTTGGAAAAATACGTTTACTGTTGCAATATACGTTAAGCAACCTATCATGTTTAACAAAAATATATATTTGTATAGAAAATGCTATTCTAACTGTTAACAAATAAGAGGTTATTATTATATTGATTTTGTAATGGTTGGTATTTTAACATTTATATTGACGTTAAATAAAGCGATACAAAAATATTAAAAAGGATTAGATTCTTTAATGGCGTGTCATTTAAAGATAGTGAAAGAAACAAGTATTATATTCTTCTGCCTCATGAAGTATTGCATTTTGCGAAATGGCGAACAGAACATTCATTTTAATAACATAATTTAAGGATAATTCACAGATAAATTAAGCGACATAGCTATTTTATTTAAATATTTCACATTGCAATACAAAGTTTAATTTAAAATATTAAATATTCAACTTCATAATTTTACTGTATCAAATCAAGTGGTGACTGAGAATCAACTTTCGAGTGCAAAGGGTTAAAAATATTATATAGAATTTACATAAATTATGGTGTAGTGAATATTATTATTATTACTATATAGTAATATTTAGTTATTATTATTATTACTGTATTAATATTATATAAGATGGGGGTTTAATGGGTATTACGTCGCGACGTTGACTTCCGCACGAGGGAGGGATATAAAAAGTCATTCCTCCCTCCGGATGCGTAAGAGCATTCCCCCACCGCACAAAACAAAAAATTCTTATATCGTAAGATTTTGTTAGAATTGTCTCATACATAATCGAGCTGCAAGGAAATCATAAAATAAATTCCTGAAGGTCGATAAAAAGCTAAATGTAAGTCCTCTCAGACTGAAAAATG